CGAGGGAGGATGGGACTTTGGAGCTCTGGCTCGTGTCGCCGGGCGCTGTTGGATGGCATTGTGAATTGGTGAGGTTTGGTTTTTTTTAGGGTTTGGTTTTTGATTATTGATTGTTGCTAATTGGATTTTTTTTAACTGAATGAAGACTATTCAAGGAAACCCGAGGTCTAGGTTGTCATCGTTGATATGGTGTAGATCAAGGCTGCTGTCGTCGAGTATTGATGGTTCGGTTTCAGAGTGGGATCTCTTCTCATTGCAGCAAAAGGTTAAATTTGATTTTTTTAATGAACTTTTATTACTGTTTTTGAGAAATTTAAAGGTAAGCACTTGGTAGTAAGGTAGGATTGGCAGCTGTTTATAGTTTCATGAATCAAGTTACTGGTTTTAGATTTCTTTGGAATTTGGATGGAATTTTTAAATTGCATACTTGAATGTGCAAAGATAAAACCTTTAAGAAGATAATGCTTTGAAATGGTAGAAGTGTTTAGGCTGCTGTAGGTTGCTAACATCTATGATGTATATTCACCATAATGTGCCGTAGGAAAAGAGTTCAGGGATTTATGTAAACTTCAAGTAAATTTATTGGTAGAGGTTCATCTTTACAATTATTAAGTTTTACAAAAGGTGGTTTTTGTCAATATGCCTTGAGACTTCCGAAAGCTTAGTTAAGTTGGAATGACTTCCAACCTTGTTAATTATTCCCATTGCTAGTTGATTGTTGAGTGTTATTATTGTGACTTTATCTGAGGTCTAGCGAAGTTTGTTTGGGGAATCTCGGACAAAATCGAGCTTTAGTTCAATGCTTTATGTTTGTTTACATGTCTACAAGCAGCTTGGATTTTAGCATTGTAAGATTATTTATCAAAGAATATCCAACTTGTATCTGATAAATGGTACCATGGGACATTTTGATATCATAATATGCATTGTTATTCTAAAAGCTTTAAGGTACTGGAAGAATGAAATTAGGAGTAAGAATACAACTTGCTAGATATTTGAAATGTTCC